GGGATTCAGCTGCGTGGTTCACATCCAGACGGTTTCGAAGACTATCGAGGTTTGCCTTGAGTACCGCCTACCTCTCGTCCTAACCTTCGTTAACTATGAGAAAGCGCATGACAGCATCGAGAGTAATGCCATACTGTCAGCGCTCGTCGAGGGGTGGACCCGTCTCACGTGAGGACATTGGCCGACGCTACAGGAACTGCGCTACAACGGTACAGCTTTTCCATCGTCCCCCTAACATCCAATCTTGAAGGGGTTCGACAAGGCGACACCGTGTCGCCAAAGCTGTTCACCGCCGCGCTGCACTGGGTAATGCAATCACTGAATTAGAACGAAAGAGATATACGAGTTGATGGGAGACTCTCGAACCTTCGTTTTGCGGACGACATTGTTCTCTTCTTGAGGAATAGCACTGAAGCGGAGACGATGTTAAAAGACTAACCGAAGTAGGGAAGCGGATAGGACAGCGAATTGACCGGAAGAAGACTTGGTTCCTAAACAACGCTTTTTGCGAGGATCAGGAAATGGAATAAGAAAGCTCTCCAATGGCGGAGACGTCTTCTTACGTATATCTCGGGCGTTCGATGAACATGGAGAACGATCTGAAAGAAGAACTAAACAGGAAGCCAAGTGCAGCTTGGCCGCCTTCAGGCCTCTAAAAGAAGCCAAAGATCACCTGACGGGCCCAGAGCTCCGAGCCCACTTGTGCGATTCAATCGTTCTCCCTGCGCTCCGCTACGCAACAGTGACGTGGCCTGACACTGTGGCTACGTCAAAGGCTCTCCGAACAACCAACAGAGCGCTGGAAGGATGTTTTCTAAAGTACAACCGACGCACTCAACCGAGATCAATGTCTCGTTTTCGCGATCCAGCGGAATACGTGTTTAAGACAAAGCATTGATGGGCTGGTCATATAATGAGAAGGACAAACGACAGGTGGACACTAAGAACTCTGGAATGGATCCCTCGCAAAGCAAAACGTCCTTGAGGGGGGCCACCAATCGGGGCCTACATGTCCGTTGCAAGGATGGACCAGCTGAATTCTCAGCTGGTAACGAGTAATGGATCTGAACCTCGCGAACATCGCCGCCGCTCTTCATTATCACATCGTGGATGACGCTAGCGAGAGACAGAAACAGTTGGAAACATTGCGAAGCCTGCACGACGAGTGAAGACAAGCCATTTAAATAAGTTAAGTATGCTTTAAACACAGCCCAGGAGATTTTCCGGCACCTCTCATGCTGGCGTTTCGCATCATCACCATACAAACTTCCAGACGATTGAGCCTAGCACTGATAAGCACTCCATTAATGACGAACCAATTGCTTGCTGGAACTACTAAAGACTATGGCCATACTTCAGGAAGAGATAAGGACTCTATGATTTTTTTTCACCCTACAGCCTCATTGTGAAGCTCTTCAATAGAAGAAGTGAAAGGAGTGATAAAGGCTTTCCTAAGTACGAAACACTAACACATTTTTTCAAGAGCCTTAAAAATTTCACAAATAGGAGTTAATATCATGAAAGCTGAATGGATGACTGTGACAAAAAGGTTCAAACTGTTGTAGAGTATCACTTATAGAGATCTTGAAGAAGTTCTCAATGCTTAGAAAAAATTAGCGTTTTATATTTGTTCTAGTGTAATATCTTACAAGCACGACATATGTACCGTGCAGCTCTTCCAACTATCTCATTCAACTATCACATTTCCATCTAAGCCAAAAAAATTGAAATTGGTTTTTAAGAAAAAGGAAAACTACAACTACATTTCTTAGAAACTGAGAAAGCAGCTTTGACTACAATTGTGTAACCTGTTGCTTTAAAGGCAGTGTACGGACTAAACCAACGAATTTATAAGTTCCCATCAGATAAAAGTAGACACT